CACAGCACAGCTGCAGCTGGGGTCTCCATGGAGACCTGTCCCAGCAATACGGGCGGGGGCTGCTGGGAAATAGAGTCTGGCTGCTGGCCGGATTGGCCATTTTTCCCACCCCTGTTCTAGGGCTTCATACCAAACTCTCTGTGCTACCAGGGGTAGAAAGGAAACCAACACCAATCCAGGGAGTCTGGACCAGTGGTTTCTTCCCAAATGCTGTTCCATGTAGCTGCTACCTTGGGCTACACTGAGAAATTGATGTAGCCAGGCCATCTTCCTAGGACTCCTTCACCAACTGGGTAGTCTTCTATCTGGAAACCAGTGAGATTACTGAGGCTGACCAGTATTCAGGTTTATGAAATCCTCACATTACAGAAAAATAACTCCTCACCAACGCAATCTGAAACAGTTATTGCCTTGATTAAAATGCAGTCTAATCAGCTGCTGGATGAAGGAATTGCCACATATATATCTGAGTTGCATCATATACAGCTGAGTTGCATCTTAGTTGCATCATATATAGCTGAGTTGCACCAGAAAACTGTAATTTTGGAAGCACTCTTGAGTCTCTGCTAAAGGACTGACTTGTGTGTGGGGCTCAAGAAGCCCTACAATGCAGATTCCTTTTAAAGCTAAATGTAACCTTCTTGATTGTTCAAGAAGAAAAACAACACTTGCTGTGACACTGCATCTGAGTATCATTGGTGTAAATTCTGTCAACTGAGATTCACCCAGTGAAATGCAAAGGGGATTCTCCATAGAATTTGCCAACAACACACAAGAAAATAAGTTCATTTATTGCCATGGTGGAGAGTCACAGACATACATGCCATTTCCATGATGTTAAATGCAATCATGGCAAGTGCAAGGGTCCCATTGAACAAGTGTTGTCAAAAGTTCAAGCTATGGGGATAAAAAAGCAACCAAAGAAGGTACATCTTCAGCTGCCACAAATACCATTGCTTATCTGAATGAAATTTCAGCCTGTAGAATGTTCACTGATGTCTACATTACCAGGTGGGCTAGCCCTGTGGAAACATCATGCTTTCAGAAAACCTACAGTACAGTCATGCTCCTACATCTTCTGTGTGTTTGTCATGGAGGTAGACTCAGAATCTGAATTTACCTTAATTTGAGAAGAGACATACAAATTACTATGGCCTTGTAATTGTCCTCCTATTGGTCCATTATACAGGTGGGCCTTTGTACACTTCTACCCTTTTTCAAAACCTTTACCAACATGAATGGCATGTGCCCCCGGCGGTGGGGGGGAGGGGGGGG